GGGGACGAGGTCCTCGGTGCGCCTGGCCAGGTGGTGGACCAGCGCGGTGCGGCGGTCCGTGCGCTGGCGGCCGTCGCCGTGGCGAGGCGACTGGAGGGTGTCGCGCGGTCCCAGGGCTGAAGCCGCTGGGGCCACGCCCCCTGAGGACGGAGGAGCCGCAGCCTCGCAGCCTGCAGCAGTAGGAGCGTGGACGGGGCGCGACAGCCTGACTGGCTCAGTGCCCTGCGGGGGGGCTGGAGCCGCCCCCGCGGGCTGGCGCTGGTGGGGGGACGGGGTTGGTGGCACGGAGGGACCAATCATGATGCCGTGCGAGGGCTTTTTTTTTTTTTTTTTTTTTTTTTTCTTTTTTTTTTTTCTTTTTTGTATTTTTTTTTCAGTCTTTTTGTTTTTTTTCATTTTTTTTTTTTTTCTTTTTTTTTCTGCGATCGGCCGCGTGACCGGGTGGCGACTCGCGGCATCGTCGGCAGCGTGGGGTGTCGGCGGGACGTCGTCCATGCTGCCACCCAATCCGAAGGGGATCATAAAAGTCCTCGTCGGCGTCTTGGAGGTGAGCGACGTCATCATGTGGGTGCGGTGCCGCTCTCGGTGGCGGAGTCGAGGTGGGCGTCGTGCGGATGCCCGACGGGGCAAGGTTGGCGCTGGCTGGCCCGTCGTCCAGGAAGTCTAGTCCCCCGCCGAAGCCGAACGGGTCGTCCTTCTGTTCGTCGTACATCGCCCGTTGGGCCTCGGCCCAGCTCGTCCGGGTTCTGCGGGATGTCTGGTCCAGCCGCGGGTGGTGCCTGGTCCGACAGCAGGGGGTTCGGTTCCATTTTGCTGAGTTCAGCCGCTGTAAACCCAGCCCTGCGGTGTGGGAGCGGCAGAGTACGGTGTATGCGCTCGTAGATGGCGACAGCGACCCCGTGAAGCACGGTCGCTTGGCGATGTCGTGTTTTGGCAGCTTCAACGATGTCGTCGGGGAGGTTGTGCGTGCGTGCCGCCGCTGTGGCAAGGGCGTCGGCCTGACGGTTGAACTCCTCCGCGATGGGCCCGATGAGCCCAAGGTCGATGCCAGGTCTCCCAGGTGGCTGGCGACTTTTTCGACGCGAAACATGTCGGGCTTGGCCATGACACATCGGTGAATCATTGCCCAGAGCTCCGCGTGCGTGCCCTGCGGCGCTGGATGTCCGTCGATGATGCTTTTGAACCCATCGACCACCGCCTGGTTGTCCACGAAGACGTGCACGGGCCGTTCGGCACACGCCGTAAGGTGGACGATGGCAAGGGTCTCCGCAACCTGGGCGTTCTGCGTTAGGCCGTGAACGCGCGCACTGTAGTTCATGCGGTAGTCGATGCCGTAGTAGACGCCGTAGCCCGCTCGTGCTAGGAGTGGGATGGCTTGGTTGGTGCACGCACCGTCCGTGGCAGCATAGACCCATGTCCATCCAGTGTCGTTGTCAAGGTAGGTGGTGTAGGTGTCCTGGGCTGAAGCCGCAGGATCACACTCAGGGGGGGGCCGCGGGATGGGCTGTGGCAGCGGGTCCCTCGCGAGGTCGGCCTGCAGGTCGAGGAGGGCTGGGTCTTCGTCGAAGAGCCCGCAGTGTCTTGTGTGCGGCGGAAGACGGGCCCACTGGTCGTCACTGATGAGGGTGTGAGAGGGAGTCTTTCTCGGGCCCAGCACTTGCAGTCGCGGACAGTGTGCTCCTGAGTTTCCTCTTCCTCGTCGCAGTAGCGGCACATGGGGCTGGGGTCTGCCGACGTGTTGGATCGGGATCGTCGCTGTTGGGTGTGGTCCCCGCCCGACAGGTAGTTCAGGAGGAGCGCCAGCTGCCAGGCAGTGCATTTGGCTGCTCCTTTGGTTCGCGCGAGCCACGTGCTGGCGAAGAGGTCAAGGCCCTGTCTGACCGAGGCGAGGTAGCCAAGGTCGTGTCGCCGTGGCTTGATCCTCCGCAGAAATGCCCTGCGTTGTGAGGCCCGCAGCATGTGCATGAAGGCGTTTTGGGGTAAATTCAGCCAGCTGATCGGGCAGCCCCAGTCGTCGTACATGATGCCAAATGTGGGCCAGGTCCATCGGAGCTGCTGGAGCGACTGGACGAGTCGCCCGACGGGTCCTCCACCAAACAGGGTCTGGACGTGGTGTTGGAGGTCTCTGGCGAGCCCACAGAGTGTAACGTCGCGGTTAACCTGTCGCCGCAGGCACAGGAATGTGCCTGGTGCAGAAGAGGGCGTGATGGCGTCGGACTCTCCAGGCGGTGTCCCGGCACGGCACCGGCCATGAGAGTCCAGAACCTCGACCCGACCTGGTTCCCCTTGGGGCGGATATCCGTCTTGAGGTCGTGTTGTAGGCGTCTTGGGGGAGGCCTAGAGACAGAGAGAGAGGAGAGATAGAGATAGAGATAAGAGAGAGAGGAGGAAGAGAAGAGAGGTAGATAGAGAGAGAGAGAGAGAAAGAGAGGGAGGGAAATGGAGAGAGAGAGAGAGAGAGAGAGAGAGAGAGAGAGAGAGAGAGAGAGAGAGCGAGCGGGAGTCAGAGTGAGAGACCGTGCGCCGAATCAGGCGCCGCCGCCGGACGCCGCGCAGGGCGCCGTGGTGGTGGCGCAGGCGCCGGCGGCCGAAGCGGCTGCTGGAGTCACTGGGTGGGGGCCTCTCCCTGGGCGATCCTCTGCCCCGAGTGTCTATGATCGCCTGTCCCCAGAGCAGTTGGTAGAGATGATGTGTCTCCGTGACGACGCGATCAGGTCGCTGAGGAAGGAGTGCAAGAGTGGGCAGAGAAATGAGAGGAAGCGCCGCAGGCGGAGCAGTGAGGCATTGGTTGTGAAGGCGTCGTCGCACCAGGCTCAGCCCAGCGTGCATGAGTTGTTTAAGTTGGGGCGCAAATGCGGTGGCAGGAGCAAGCAGCCTACAACGGGCGGATCGCTGTCGTTGGCCCTCCGGGCGGTTCTGTCGAATGCCGCCGCCGACCGCGTCGGCGCTCCCTTTTTGTTCGACGTGGGCCGCGCGCAGGTAAACCGGTCGATCGCTCTCCTCGGCGCCTGTGTTCTCCAAGCGAGCCGCGCGCGGCACGCAGGCGCCCTCCACCGCGCGCAGCAGGTTGCGGGGCAGGGGCCCCGGGAGGATAGGGGGATGCGACGCCAGATTGCTTTTCACTCGTTCCCGAGCGACGCAGCAAATTCGGCCGTCTGGCGAAAGTCCAAAGTCCACGCGACGGAAGTGCAAAGTGGGTTCATATATGATGTGGGTGATATAATGACGATCGGCGACTTCGATCGGAGTCTCGAGTCCATGGGCATGCTCTGCGACATTCAACGGGCGCTGTCTGGAACCGCTGGGTCCACTTATTCGCTCCTCAAGAAACAGTTGTCGAGTTTTGTGTGCCCGTTGTGGGCAGAGCAGTTTCCCGCCGCGCTCTATGACGCGTTCGGGTACCAGGAACGGTGGCAGCATCAGATAGCAGCGGCAGAGATGGCTGGGCACGCCCGCGCAGAGGTTTTTACTTACACAGCCGACGGAGGCAGCGACCAGAGTAAGTTCAAGAAGGTAGTGGCCGCAGGCGCGCTCAGCTCAGTGCACACGCTGTTTGCGGCAGTCCCCTGCGTGCCGCATGCCGGGGCGTTGGTGTCCAAGACAATGTTGAGGACGGTTGATGAATGGTTGATTTACAATTGCGTGAACTGGAGGCCGTTCCGCACAACGGCGAAGATTATGCATGTGTGGAGGGGCTCTGCGAGGGATATCTTCAAGTGCTGGCAGCGCCTGCACGGTGTGGAGCCGGCCCTCGCGAACGCCAATTCTTTGCCTCCGTGCGCGATCAGCGGAAGGTCATCTTGGGGGCTTCTTAAGTTCACACGTTTCGCATTAGGCATTCGGGCATTCGGCCCCTTCGACGTCGATATCGGGCCCCGTCGTTGGCGGCGCGTCGGTCGGTCCAGTTGTTCAGGGGTCGCCCTCCCCCCTGGTGGCCGCGGTGACCCCCCCCTCTCCCTTTTCGCCCCCCCACCCCCCCATCCCTACCCTCGAACTCCGCCCCTCGCGCCGCCGCTTGCCCCCCCGAAAAATGTGGGGCAGCATGGGCGCCGCCTTGAAACGCGTCGCGCCGGCGCGCGGGGCCGCCGCGGCGGTCTTCGACGAGGTCCTGGCGCTGAAGAACATTGCGGAGGACGACGAGGACGACGACGCCCAACCATTGGCGGGGTTGTGGCCCGGGCTGGGGGGAGAGCGACCGAGCCAAGGCGACCCCGCCGGGCCAAGTTGGGAAAGCAGAAGGGGAGGAATTGGGAGGGGAAGGGATTGGGCGGTTAGGCGGTTGGAGAGCAGAGACGGACCAAGGGGGGGGCAGGGCCCAGCGGGAGGTGAGACCTGAGCGCTCGGCCCTCTTGGGAAGCAAGGCGGCGGAGGAGGAAGGAGGTTTGGAGGGGGGGGGGGGGGGGGGGGGGCGCAGCAATCTGACAGCGAGCGCGGAGCCTAAGCTGGGGGAATGAGGAGAGGCGGCGCAGGCGTGAGGAGGAGGACATGATAGGAAGACGTACTCCACTCCTCCCTCCTAACCATCATAATCCCCAGTCCCATCCTCATCCTCCGCATCCTCCGCATCCTTTTCACTCTCTCGCATGACTCTTCCGATGTCCCCTCCTCATCTCCTCTCCATCCTCCTCCGCTGCCACTCCCCACGCCAGTTCCTCTGCCCGCCTTCCTCGCCCTTGCCCCCCCATGCCACTCTCCCCGCTCGGGCAGGGGAGGCAGACGGCGCTGCCGACGAGGGCGATGATCATGATGGCGCTGCCGGCGCTGCCCGCCCGGGGCCCTTCACGACGACGGCGACGTCGCCGCGCCCGCGCTGGAAAATCCAAGGGGCGAGAGCCAGGCCGAGTATTCTCGGAGGATGGGGGGGTGGCGGAGAGACGCAACAATGGCAGTGAAAGATCTACTCTACAGATTAGTGGCAGAAATATTCCAGATCTCTCATCAGACCGTCGACCATCACCGAAACCTAGTCCAGCAGACTGCGGCGCCAGACGTCGTCCGAGATCGGGGCAACAAGGCTGCGATCTTGATCCAGGGCAGGGCCGAGCAGCTCCGCTCGGAGATTGGGCAGACCGTGCACGAGACCAACTGGAATGCGCTGTTGAGTCGGGCGGCTGAGTTCGAGGAGAAGCCGGGGTTCCCACCTGAGAATGAGATCACGTGCCTCATCGTGGGTTTGCACATGCACTGCAGCGCCGCCTACGAGAGGAGAATTTGCCACGACTTATGCAGATTGCCGTTCACGCTGTGTGCGATGGCCATGCAGCCCCCTGGAGTGAAATGCAGGAAGCGGCGAAACCTCGCAGAGTTCATCATGGATCAGCATGGCAGGCCTCTGGAGGTGAATGCTCGCAAGCCGAGGCTCACGCGCGCCGCGGCGCTTCAGTGGGCCGCCGACGACGGGGCTACCGCGCCTGCGCTCTGGGCCACATTGGCCTCCCCAGCCTCTCGAGCCGCGTCGCATCGCGGGCTATGCTGGGGGTTTCGGGCAGCTCCTTCAAGTTCTCCAGCCCCGAGGGGCGAGCTGCTCAGGTGCTCGAGGAGGCGCGCGCTTATGCGGCGGATGCCCAGGCCATCATCGACCGCGAGAAGGAGAGGTGGACCACGCCGGGCCCTGACCCGCTTCCAGCGGAAGACGTGATCAACGCGATTGCGAGGATTACCGACCCCCGCCGAGCGTCAACCCAGGCTTGGAAGTGGGCCACCGTGTGGTCTATAATCTTCGCTCGGCATTGTAAGGACAGCGTCTCCGCGAGGTTATGCTTCTCCTTCCAGAGCGGCGACTTGCGCGATGGGGATCTCGCCCAGTTCGTGTGCGACAGGAACTATTCTGTCCGTTTCCTCGCAGAGTGGGAGGTGGTGCCGGATAGCTCCGACGACGTCGATGTTCCGCGGGGCAGTCTATTGGCCGTTATCAAGCACCCGCTGCTGCACTCCGACACGGCGAGCTTCCTGGAGAAATTCCACGGCCACGGGGCCCAGGCAGGCGCGGGCGCCAACAGGTTCATCAAGGTCTCCCGCCACGATGTCGCGAGGTGCTTCCAGTCGAAGACGGACGGCAGGATCTTCGCTGTTGTAAGGAAGAAGCCCACGTTGCCGTTCAAGCTCACGAAGGCGCTCCCCGCAGAGGTCGACAAGATCTTCAAGCGCAAGTGCAGAGAGGGCGACGATGACAAGCAGGGCCATATGAATTCAAAATTATCCTCCTCCTCTCCTCTCCTCTCCTCTTCCTCCTCCTCCTCCTCTCCGCCTCTCTTTATCCTGCTCATCCCTCATCCTTCCCGCCCCCTTTAGTTCCCTGCTTTGGCCCCTGGGCCCCACCCTGCCTGTCCCCTCCTCTCTGAGAGCGCCCCCTCCCGATGGGGTCGCGGCGGAGCGTCGAACTCCGAGGGGGGGCGGGGGGGGGGCAGGCGATCGGGGCCCAGGGCCCAGGTGGGGAAGGGCGCGGAGGCCCTGGGGCCCCGGGGCGATGGGGCGGGGGCGAGGAGGGAGGCGAGGGAAGATGGAGGAGGCCGGGGTTAAGCGACCCTTCCCCCCCGCCGCGCCCAGGGCGGCCGCCGAGGGCCCAGGCCGCCGGGCACGGGGCGCGGCCTCGCAATCGACGAGGCCGTCGCGCAGATCTCCGGCAAGCCCGCCGCGCCCGTGGCGGGCTCCGCGGGCGGCCCTGGCGGCGCTCAAGGGGCCGCCGCCGCTGGCGCCGACGGCGGCGGCGTTGGCGACGGTGGCGACGCTGGCGTTGACGACGACGCTGGCCTCATCGACGCCCTCGCGGCGGCTCTCCGTGATCGGGCGTCCGGCGTCGACGAGGAGGTGGCCATCAAGTTCGATGAGCTCAAGGGGCGCGACGCACAAGCAGCAGGGCAGGATCTTGTGGAGCAACGCGAAGCGTCGATCGTTGCCGCCGCCATCGCGAGGAGGCACGGCGGCACCGGCAGCAGCGGCGCTGAGAAGGATGGCGGCGAGGCCAGCGCCAGAGGAGAGAGAGATGATTCTAGCAGAGGCGATCTTCGGCGGCGTGGCAGAGACGGCGGCGGCGGCGCCTCCCCCCGGTACAGCTGGTGAAGGTCTCGGCCCTGGTGCAAGCGGCTTGCCTGCCGGCGTCGCGGAGGGGCTGGAGATGCGGGTCGCCGCCGGCCCCCGCGCTGCATTGGCTTTGCAGGACGTCCAGCGGATAGGGGCCGATCGAAACGGGGGGCGGGCGGTTGGGCTGGGTACTTCGGTCGGCCGCCGATGCACATCGCCGATGCATCGCGTTGCATCGCGTCGTCACCGTCCAATGCTTCTGGGCGCGCTGGGGCCCCGATGGGGCCGAAGAGCGCTGGGCGCCGACTGTCTGACTGTCTGGGGCGACCTGGCGACCGATCAACGGAGGAGGAGGAGGGGCGATAACGAGGGCGGGGCCAGGAGAGGAAGCGGAGGAGGAGGAGGAGGGGCGTGCCATAGGAAGGTCGCCAGGCAAACAAACCCCCATCCCACTGGGCAACTCCTGTCCGCCTGCCCGCGCGGCGCCCCCCCCCCCCCTGTGGCGTCGCAGCGCTCGCTCGATCGCTCGAGATAGCGCGGGGTGGCGCCACCCACCGCCCAGGAGAGAGAGGAGGAGAGGATTGATGAGAGTGATGAGAGACGGGGAGCGAGCGAGAGCAGCAGATAGAGAGAGAGAGAGAGAGAGAGAGAGAGAGAGAGAGAGAGAGAGAGAGAGAGAGAGAGAGAGAGAGAGAGAGAGAGAGAGAGAGACGAGAGAGGGAGAGAGGGAGAGAGAGAGAAAAAGAGAGAGAGAGAGAGAGAGAGTAGAGAGAGAGAGAGAGAGAGAGAGAGAGAGAGAGAAAAAAAGAGAAAGAGAGAGAGAGAGAGAGAGAGAGAGAGCGAGAGAGAGAGAGAGGGAGAAAGAGGGAGAGAGAGAGAGAGAGAACAAAGAGAGAGAGAGAGAGAGAAATATAAACAAAAACAAAAAAAAACAAGAGAGAAAGCGAGGAGGCGAGGAAGAGAGATAGGATTCACCGCGAGTGAGAGAGCGCGAGGAGCTAGGCTAAGCTAATGATATGTGCTGAGTTCGAGGGACCAGGGCGCGTCGACATGTCGACTCGAGGCTCGGGGGCATGGGTGGTCATAATGGCAATAGTTGTTGCTTCAGCTTGGCTTGGGCTCGCTCAGCTCGTATTGTGGCCGGGTTAATGCGCGGTTGGAGTAGTTGGCGCAATCGCGCTGCGCCAGGACTCCATGCTCTGTTTCGGATATCGGATACCTCTCCCTGAGACTCCAGGCCCCCCATGGGCCCCTGGGGGCACTGGCGCGGCCTGGCCCTGGATAATTGGATAACCGCCCCCTTCCAAGGGCGCCATCTCGCAGCTGAACTTGGGGCCCCGCCAGGTGGGGGAGGACAATGACTTGTCGCTGGCGGTCGCGCCAGACCCTCTGCGAGGGTGGGGGCCCGAGGTCCGACGACGACGACGACGGCGGCGGCGGCGACTGCGACGACGACCGACCCGAGGTCTGCTTCCTGAGCTGGACAGACTTCGCCACCGAGGTGGGCCGCAAGTGCAAAGTCCTCGATACCCCTTGCCACTTGCCTTGCCGGCCTTACCCCCTCTCCACACGGGGGGTGAGATGGTTTGAGATGGCCAAGGGCGAGTCCTGGATCATGAGGTCCTGGACCCTGGATTATGCTAGGCTCCGAGAGGGACCGCGCGACCTCTTCCAACTCCCCTCGCCTCCTCTGCTGCGCGATCCGCTCTGGCGACTCGACGACGACGACGACGACGGACGACGGCTCGTGCGACGATAACCGCGGCGCGCGTTCGGCAGGCCCCCCGCTCTCTCTCCCATCACAGGGCGGCCGCGGCTGCGGCGACAAGCTCATCGGGCTCGGGCCCTAGCCGCATCCCGACGTCAGCAGACCACTCCCACTTCAGGCCCCCGGGGCCCTCAGTCTCAATCGGCGGCGAGGGGGGGGCGATGGTGGCGGTGACGGCGACGGCGGCGGCGGCGTCCACGTTTCTCGAGTCGACCGAGTCGATGGTGTCCTTCCCGCGCCCTCCTCCGCTTTCACCAGTCTCTCCTGTCCTGCCCTGCTCTTCGTGTTTTCCCATCCCTCCTTCGCCGCGTAGCCCGCCTCCCCCCCTCTCGGCATCTCTCTCCTCCTCGTCTGGTCATTAGCGGTCCATGTCCTTGCCGCGAGCCTTGCCGCCCTTGCCCGTGTTCATGCTGGCGCGGTAGCCGTCTTTGCCGCCCTTGCCGTGCTTGCCATTGCCGTTGCTCTTGCTGTTATTGCCCTTGGAGTACGGGCCGCTGTCTCGCTCGCTGCGTTTGCCCTCGTCATTGCTCTTGTCCAGGCCGAGCAGATCCTCGTGCATGTAGCGCGGGGGCAATGAAAGCTCGTCGGAGTCGTTGGCGTCCTCAGTCTTGCCCTTTGCCTTCGCCTCGTGCCGGGCGTGCACTGGGGGCGCCGTTAACGTGCCAGATCCTTCTGCCCTTCCCGTCGCCCTGGAAATGTTCGGCTTGGCGCGGTCTGAGCTGTTTTTTTTTTTCGCGCGCGTGGCTGATGCGAGCGCATTTTTTTGCGTGGGCCCAAGATAGAATGTTTTGGGTTGGTTATCGATGTTGCGCTTTCAAAAAATCACGAATCGCGTTCGTAACTCAATTGATATTTTTGCGTGTGTGTAGTGGGATCGTAAGTTTTTCCGCGGTCTTCAAGATAGAATGTTGTTGATTTGATTGACTCTTGATGTTGTGCTGTCAACAATCTTCGACGTACGTTTGTAACCCAATCGAATGTGTGTGTGGGATCGCTTGTGTTTTCAAGTTTTCAAAATAAATGTTCCAATTGTGTTTTTTCGTAGTGGTGTCGCCTGTTTTCCGTGGTCTTCATGTTAACCCAATCGAGTTTTTATTTGTGTGTGTAGATGGTCGTCATTTTTCCGCAATCATGCCTCGCGCACCGCGGCGCCAACCGCTAGGTCATCCCTCCATCCGCGTAGCTGTCCCGTAACGAATGTGCGTGACACTAAGGCGAGAGCTTAATTTTGAATTGTCGTCGTCGCTCTCGGAGGAGTCATAGTTCCAAATCGTTGCATCATAACGTTGCGCTTCCGCGCTGTCGCATTCTACAAACTGAACTGTTCTAAGGTTGGGGCAATGGTGGTGATCAGGCTCAAGACTTCCAAACTGGTGAACGCTTTGCAGATCCGCATGTGGATGAAGAAATGGGCGCATGCCATAACCAAGTCGCACGCGCCCGAATGCAAACTCGAGCTGTATGAGGAGGCGTTGGCGAACATCAAACTGTTGTCTCGCAAAAAAAACGGATGAGAAAACCAGCGAGGAGAAGGCCGAGGGTGCATTGGAGATGATCTCCGAGGTGGCTACGAAAGCAATCGATGACGCGAGCAGTTGGGGCGTTGCCTCGGAGTAAGTGGCCGCGTGCGATCACAATAACCATGCGTGCTTTACAGAGGGAATAACACGCGCCATTGACCCATGTAAGTCTTGCACGTTCCCCTTGCCCGTCGGTCGTTGAAAGTAGGTATTTCTGGATTCCCAGAACCCAATCTACTTCGAGCGCCTTCCTACTTCAATAATCGATATGGTTTGGCTGTTGTTTGTTATTCTTTGGGCGGGCCCGAACCCGATCTACTTGATCCGCCTTCCTACTTCATGTTTTTAACTCATTCTTCCGACCGACGTGTAATCATCTCTCCATCCCGCCATGGAACGTCCCTTCCCCCCCTGGAAAAGAACGCTACATATCGTTTTTTTGGTTAAAGGTTGAACGGCCCGCGCGATTTCAGAAACCGACGCCGGCGTCGTCGCGGATCGTTTGCATCTCCGCAAGGCCTTGGGCCCTTGGCGGAAGGGCTCATCTCGCGTTCTTGATTCTTAGGTCAACCCCAGGAGCGCGAAGATCATTGCGCTTCACGCGTCGCCGCCTGGGCCAGAGAGGTCGCGCATTCTCCGGGGCGGACCCCCGGGGGCGCGAAGATAATCGCGCTTCGCGCGTCGCGGCCTGGCGCGGCCTCGCGAGGGGGCGGGGGGGGCGGGGGGGGCATCCGCATCCGTTTCCCCTGGCCAGAGCCGTTAGGCCCAAGTGTTTTGGCCGATCGGCCCCGACCCAGTTCTTCGATGGATCCACCAGGCTTGCAGGGCTCTCTCGAACCTCGTCGTCGTCGTCGTCTGCCGACGTCGTCGACGTCGACGTCGACGTCGACGCCCCGGGGGGATGGAGGCCAGCTTTGACTGCTGATTGGCTTGACTCGCGCCGCGCTGGGTCGACGCGTTGATCCAGCGCGGCGGGGGGCAAGCCAGACAGCAGAGTAGCAGGCCAAGATGTGGTGGGGATCATTGCCGCGCGCGTGCACGCGCGCGCGCGCGCGCCGACGCCCGTCGCCGCAGCTGGCCCCAGCTGGCGTTCACCGAGGATGGCCCGGCAGTGGCGGCGCGGCAGGCGACGTCGAGGCTCGGCAGGTCCAAGGGCCCAGGGGTGAATGGAGATGGGAATAAGGTCACCCCCCTTCCTCCTCCTCCTCCCCCTCCTCTTCCAACTCCTCCTCCTTTCCTCCGCCTCCTTCTCAAGATGAGGGGGGGGGGGGGGGTCGGTCTGGGAGCGTCGCAAGCCCGCGCGGCCCGTGCACCCATGGACTCGAAAGTTGCCCTTGTGAGTCTCGCGAGCGCCCCTCCATCGTGCGTTGTAGAAGAAACCACATGAACATGAACGTGAACTTTCGGAGGCCCGCGCGCATTTCTTGGATCGGCGCTGGGCCCCCTTGGCGGCGCATCCGGCGCCGCCCCTGGCGCGCTCCGCGCGCCAGTGAGGAGCGGAGGGCCAGCGCCGATCCAAGAAATCCGCTCGGACCTCCGCAAGTTCATGTTTATGTCGTTTTTCTTCCTAGAGGCATCCCGCGGGTCGCGCTGGGGAACATATTCTGCGTCGAGTGGTGGGAGTTGCAGTGGCCGACATTAAGAGGAGGCTGAACCCGCTGACGCTGCTTGCGCTCAAGAGCATCCTAGAGGCGCCCGGCGTCAGGCACGCCCCCCCCCCCTTCCGGCGGATCAGGGGAGGAGGGGGGGGGGGGGGAGAGGGGGGGGGGCAGGGGGGGGGGGGGGGGGCAGGGGGGGGGGGGAAGGAGGAGCAGGACGAACCATGCGAATACTACATGCGCAGAAGAAGCCAGCAGGGGACTCAGAAGAGGCCAACACAGAACATAAACAGAGACATGCATGTTTGTTTTGGGGGCTATATATACATGTACATATATACACATATATACATACACACATACACGTATACATACACATATATAGCGCAGTTCGTCGTTGAACTTTGCCGCCAAGAGTGACTGGCGCGAGGAATCACCGCCGCCCCAACCCAACCCAACCCAACACTTCACAATGCCCTCGCCGGAGATAACGCCGCCGATGCTGAACGTCGGGCCGATTGAAAGATAACCTGAGGTTGGGCTGGCTGCAGGCTGGCGCGACAGTTGGCGCCCTCCGCCTCACCCCCCTCCTCTCGCCCCCTCATCGCCCCCCCTCAGCCGCGCAGGCTCGCGCAGAGCGAGTGGGAGTACATCGATCGAGCGGTCTGGCAAAAGCGCGTCGACGTCATGGGCGCCGCCGTTGCTGCTGCCAAGGGGCGCGGGCGCCGGCAATATCATATATCTTCCACTCCACCCAACTCGACCCTCCCCTTCCTGGGGAGGGGAGGGGGAGCGACGGCGGGGGGGCGGGGGCAGCGGCTGAAGGCGGCGCCTGCAGCTCCCTCGCCGCCGGCGCCGCCCAGGCGGTCGACCTTCGAGTCGACCTCGGCGACCCCGGCGACCTCCGCGTCCGCGACCTCGTCGCGACGCTCTGCTGCGTCGGATAAGACGGCGCGGAAGCGGAGGATCGGCGGGGGGCGCAGGGAGGGGGCTTAGGTAAGCCCTAGGGGCGCGAGGATAGGAGGAGTAGGAGGAGGAGGAAGAGGAGGAGTAGGTTGAGGAGGCGGAGGGGGGGGGGGGGAAGTAGGAGGAGGAGGTGGAGGAGGGCGAGGAGGGGGGGGAGCAGGAGGGCGACGACGCCGAGGATACGGGGACACGGCCCCCCCCCGTCAACGCGCTTGGCTGGGTAGTCGAAGGCCAGACTGTCAGACTGGATTGGGCCCCAAGGGACGAAGAGGAACATCGGCAATGTAAGTTGTGAGGTCACTCGGGCCGCTCTGAATCGGGGTCGGAATCGAGTTCTGGGGGGCATTAGGTTCGTCGGCCTTTCTGGGTCGGGATCGGAACCGAGCCCCCGCGGTCCGCGCCCCTCCTCCTCCTCCTCCCTTGCCCCTCCCCGCTTCCCTTCCTCCTTCTCCCTTCCCGCCTGCCTCCCCCCCCTTCTCCTTCTCCTCTTCCCCCAAGGGGGCGGGCGAGGAGGAGGGGGGGGGGGATGCCCTTGCCGCGCCAGGCGCTGTCGGCCACGATCGAGACCGACTTCCACCGGACAACTGTTGCCTCGTGGGAAAAGCTCTTGGCCGCGCCCCTATTGGCCAGGTCTAGGTCGCGGTATTTATGGCACTACGAGTACGACGCGTACGTGCGCACGCAGCGGAGAACGGTGTGCGATGAAAAGGTGTCCTCATTCGCCATTTACACCTTGAGAGCCGACGCTGCCAATTCAGCAGTTGCTTCCCATCATCACAAGGCGCGCGTAGCGGAGGTGTCGGCCTTTTTCTACCATGCGCCGCCCATCGACGAGAAGGACGTCGGCTTGCCTGGATTGCCGGCCTCTAACGTCAACCGCATGTGCTCAGATACTCAAAAGGTTCCACTGGAGTGCAGAGGGCCTGAGGTGCGTGCCATGTTTCTGAAGCAGATTGAGAATGTCGGCGCGCGCACGTGGATCCACGAAGAGCCCGAGATCGTTGTCACGTGCTCCCACTTGGAGATCTGGATATTCCCCACAGATGCCGGTGGAGACCAACAGGGGGCTGAAGGAATTATCCAGAGGGAGTTCGACTCGTGCCCCTTTCGGTGGAAGCTGCGCAGTTGGTGCTTGCACCATCAGCTGCACCTCGTGGCTGCGAAGAACGTCAGGAGGAAAACGATAATATGTGGCAGTTATTTTGGGAGATAAGCTTGCGTCGCCAACGTGTGGCGGGAGTGCGGAAACCCGAATAAGATTCAACAGGCTTGGGAAAAGTTGTTTCCAGCTAGAGCCAAGAAGGTGCGCTCGACCTTGCCGCCCCCCCCGCTGCGCGGGCGTTGGTGTTCCTGCTCCAAGGCTGAAGCTTTCTTCAAGACAGCGGGGATGCGCGAACTGGCCGCCGTTCTGAAAGAAGTGTTCGTGGAGGGCGACGCCCCTCGCGTCGACGCCGATGCCCTCGAGGAGGGCTACGGCGCGGAGGAGGCCCACGATGTTAAGCTCGGCCGTTGGATGCGCCAAACACTCCGGTCGGTGAGTGACATCAGATTTTGGCAGGTGCTGTACATCAAGAGTGAGTCTCGCGCTCCGATCACGGGGATGCATTTTTGGCCGCAGAAGTACACCACGGACATCAACTGCGTTCTAGAATTGGTGGTGCGGAATATTGCGGACGTTTATCTAGATTTCACAGACTTGTTGAGGAAACCGATCGGCGACAATTGGGGGGGGGGGGGGGGCGTTGCACCTCGCGCAAGACCAGGCGGACGAGGGGAATATATTGGCAGAAGTAGTCTCCCATGTGCTCGACGCAGCTGGCGGCTTCCAGCGGAGATTCGTGGTCTGGAAAGACACGTTCCCGCGCCGCTTGGTACTTTTTATTGCTGCGCGCCACGACGAGGACAGCGGCATTCGAAGGGGCACCGCCGCGGCGATGTTGGCATTGACAGAGGAAGAGGCCCGCGCGGACGACCTGACTCACAAGTTCCGAACATTGTTTGAGGCCGACATTCAGGCGGCCAGAGATAATGGCACGTGCTCCGAGTTAATGTGGGGAATCGTCCGGGGCATATGCACGATGCGGCGCATTGACACTCGGGAGATTGAAGGGCTCAACAACACGTTGAAGACCATCGGCCGCATCGCGCCGCGGATTGGCTGGGAGCTCATGTCGTCGATGGTTACGGCCAAGAAAAACTCGACTGTTCGCTGCAACAGCAGGGGGATAGGGAAATCCAGATACAGGAATGCAGCACAGTCCACGCCATGGCGAAGGCCGTGCTGAAGACGAAGACGCGTAGATGGGACGTGGTGAACGCTGCAGATTACCCCCCCCCTCCGCCTGCGCCAGCTGTGCGTCGCGCCCAGGGGCGCAGGTGCGCCGCCAGGTTGTTGAAGGCAGCGAAGGACTCGCTCAAGGCCTTGGACATTGCGTGGGGGCCGACCGGCAATATTGCTTTGAATGCCCGAATGGTCGTTGACGACCACTCCGATGGTGGCGCTCGAGAGACGTTGCAGACGAGGGCTCCAGGCTGACCAAACAATCCTCCACATCCACTCTCCGTCCTCCTCCACTCCTCTGCTGGGCTTCCCCCCCTCCGCTCCTCCACCTATCCTCCTCGCCTCCACCGCCTTCTCCCTTTCCTCCCCCTCCTCCTCCTCCTCCCCCCCCTTTGCTGCTCCTCTCCCCCCCCCCCCCCCCCTCCTGCTGCCGCCTCTCCCCATCCAACTCTCTCCTCGCCGCCGCTGCGCCCTGGCCCTCTCCGGAAGGACCGTCTTGCTCGGCGCGCAGTTCAGGCGCAGCATCTGGTTCGCCAGGGCCGAGGAGCAGGCTGCGGAGGACGGCGGCGCCCGCCCTGTGGGGAGGAAGGAGAAGGAGCGGGCGAGGGGGGCGAAGGTCGCTGCGAAGGGCGGCGAAGGGGGATTCAGAGGATCAGAGGATCAGCAATGGCAGCCCAAGTAGGAGGGGAGGAGAGGGGGGAGGGGGAACGAGGAGGGATGGGCGCCGAGGGGCGCGAGGGGGAAGGGGGGTAAGGAGAGGGGGGGGGGGGGGGGCCTGGCAGCAGCGGCGGCAGCGGGCAAGCCCCCCCCCTTCCTCTTTCTCGCCCCGCCCCCCCGCTCTGGTCTCTCCGCCCGCCCATGAGGGCGGCCACGATGGCCCTGGGTTCGGACAGGTGAACATCTGCGTGCCATTGACCTTCGAGCACCAGATGCAGTTGTTCGTGGACGCCCACGATGCAGCCGTGATCCACCCCGGGGGCGCCGCTCCCCGGGACCGGCACTTGCGCGAGGCGAACATCGTGGTCAGCCTATGGCACCTTTCTTGGGATCAACATTCGACGAAGACGGCGACAGTCGTGGACATCGACCCATTGGCGGAGTTGAGATGCGTCTGCAAGTGCAAGCGGAGAGGAGGCCGCCGCCCGCGGCGCCCCAGGGGCGGCGACGGCGGCGGCGACGACCCCGGGGGCGGCGACTACCCTGGCGACAAGCCCAAGGAGGACAACGAGGACGGAGGCGAGGACGACCAACCCAAGGAGGATGGGGACGACGTGGACGGGGGCGAGGAGGAGGACCCCGAGGCCAAGGCCGAGCTCGACGAGCTGGAAGCGGAGGGCCTCGAAGCCGAGGCGATCGGCAAGGCCGAGGAGGAGGGGGGGGGAGGGGGGGGCCCATCAGCTGGCTGGGCTGGCGCAGAAGATGACCGCGGCGCTGCCGCGGCCTGCTGGCGAGCTGCTCCTGGCTGCGACGTCAGTTGGCCGAGCGTCTGCTGCGTGGTGACCAGCGATCCCTGCAGCGCCGTCAATGATGATGTCAGTAGTGCCTGGCCAGCTTGTAACTCCGCAGCGACGCGCGGGGCAATTTCAGATGACGCCGCTGGCTGCGGCTGGAAAGGTGGCGGAGTCGCAGGTGGGGTGGCAGTGCCTGTATCTTCGACGAAGGAGACGACCTTGACCTCCTCCTTGGCGAGCTCCTCGAAGTTGCTCAGGATCTCCTGCGCTTGGGCCACCTCCGTGGCCAAAGCTTTTCGCTGGCGTTGAGCTGCTGAGAGTGCAATCTCCGCTGCTCGCTCCGACTTCTGAGAATCCTTGACGCGTTTTGTGGTCTTTGCCATGTAGGCTGACTGATAGTTGACTCGTTCCTTGGGCGCGAACGAGTATAGGTACACGAACCGAAAGATTGCATGCTCCATGCGCTTGGCCTCGAGCAGCGGTGAAGACTCTGATGGCGAAATCGCCTCTTGGGCCAAGATTTACTGTTCGACTGCGTTCATGGCTGTTCAGGTGCCGACGATGATTCTATCGATCTGACGTGAGAGCAGGAGGGTCTACCCAATTATGATGGGCCTTGGCCTCCTGCAAAGTGGCTACCCTCTTCTTCAGGAAAGGGGGCTTACCTGTGCCTATGTCGCTCGTAGCTGGCCGAGAAGAAGACTGCCGCGCGCGAGAGGGCACCCTGAACAGCGACCTGTCCCTGCGGCGAGGACGACGTGACGAACCTGCGTTGTCTGGGTAGCACTTGTTGCGTCATGCTGAAGCTGGTAGAACAGAACCACGGTGCCCCTGCGCTGCGCCATGGTGCCGGCTTGCTGGTCATTGACTGCCGCTGCCTAGCGCTGCGGAGGGCG